TGGGATCTTTTATGTTTTATTCACTGACATACCTCAATATCTAAATCAGTATCTGTCACAGAGAAGATGCCCAAAAATATGTGTCGAATAAATGAATGAATGGAAAAAAACCAAAGACCTTATTCACAAGCATATCAAAACTATGAAATATCCATGAGTAAATTTAACCAAAAATGTCCTTTTGTGATGAATAACACAAATACGGAGTATTATTTTTAATATTTTATATAAGCAGATAGCTCAACGAATTATTACAAAAGTGACTCTCCATTAAACCACCACTCAGGTAAAGCAATAAAATGGTGTCATCACTCAGCCTCACCTTGTGTCTCTTTCCAATGATGACTTCCATCATCCTCTGTAAAACATAACTCATATGCTGACTTGTAGCACTGCAGTTTAGTTTTGCCTACTTTGGAACTTTATATAGAATCAGAGTATGTGTTTTGCATTTGGCTTTTCTTGTTCAGTATTGTTTGTGAAATCCATCCATCTTGTTCTCTGCAGCTTTATTTCATTCATCGCCACTGCTGTGCGGTATTTCATCGTGTGAATGTCCCAAAATTTATCTATATGGCCAACAGTTATACATGCCTCCTGGTGCCCGAGAGCACTCATATCTGTTGAGTGTACACCCGAGGTGGAATTGCTGGTCAGAGAGAATGTACATACTTAATAATGTTTTTCGATTAATGAAACTTCAAAAGTTTTATGTAGCCAATTCATTAATCTTTACTATTAATGTTATCACTTTTGTTGTGTTTCACGTAGCTCTGCAATTCATTTCAAATGGATATTTTGTACGTGGTGTTAAGGCAGCAGTAGTTATTTTTACCCCATATGATTATCCAACTGAATCAGCATCATTTATAGAAAACACCACTCTCCCCCCACTGCTCTGCAGCAACACTTTTTTAAAGAAGTCAAGTGTGCATGTAAGTATAGACACTTTCCTGGGCCTTTGTTCTGGCCTACCCACACTTAAGTATTTAATGACAAGCCTTGCCATCTGATAGAACAGGTCTCACCTCCTCTTCCTTCAAGAGCATTTTGTCTGTTCTTGGCTCTCTCTCATTTCATGTGAATTTGGAATCAGCTGATCCATTTTTTTTTGGAAAAAGAAAACCTCTTGGGATTTCATTTGCAATTGTGGTGATCAGTTGTGAGAGAATCGACATCTTTAAAGCATCAAGTCTTCCAAACAAGTACATGTATCTTTCCACAAGTAGAATATATCCCTCTGTTTGCTTAGATCTTAATGTTTCTTTATTACGTTCAATCTTTTTCTAGATACAGCCTTGCACATCTTGATTTTTAGTAGGTATGTGATGCCTTTTGATATCCTTTTAAGTCACACATTTAAGAAATTTTCATTTTCTCACTGTATGCTGCTAGTATATTAAAAACATTTGATTTTTTACATTGACCTTGCATTCAGCAATCTTGCTAAACTCACTTTTTAATTCTTCTAATGGATGTGTTGATTCTTTTGTGAATGACGATTTTATTTTTTCGTTTTGAGTCTTGAAACTTTTAATTAATTAACTAGTGAATCAGTCAGTTACCTCATCATACTTGCTGGGATCTTTGGTTCAGTTTTGAATGGAAGGAATGGTAGTGGGCACACTGGTTTTGTTTTTTGATTACAAATAGACAAGGGGTTCTCTCTCTCTCTCTCCATTTCTTTCTATCTAGAAACTCCTTTGAAAGACACGTAAGACGCATGCTCCTTGCTCAATGGGTAGAGATGCTGACATTCCCTATGTTCATGTGTCAGTGAAGGGTCCCCATCCAAATCCTCAGAAGATTTTTCGTAGGCCCCGCTAAACTGCTTCAGAATCTATCCAAAGGAAAATGCATGCCAGAATTGCCAAGGAAGTTTTGGAAAGCAAAAACAATGAGAAGGCTGAGCTAGATATGAAAACGTCTTTGTCTTAGGTCAGCTAACCCTCAAGGCAGAGCTGGAGACAGGAATTCTCATTTGGGGAACTTTGAGGGGCAGGAAAGGCGAGTGCTTCTTTGAGAGAAGCGGGACAGGGTAAGGGAGCCGGTCACCAATTATGCGGGCTCCGCTTGTGACTGGCTTCAGTGTGAACCCACAGGGGAGCTCTGGAGGACAAGCTGCACGACAAAACTGGCCTTATTTTGACGCAAGGGGCCTATCCTGTCCTTTGATATCCTCCTGCCCATGAGTCACACCTGAAGTGTGGCTTAGCTGGCGGTGGGGTGCTGCATAGCTTCCCAGGCCTGTGGCTTCCATTTAACTGGGAGTCATTCCACCAAGAAAGAGCAGCTGTGAATTACCAGCCAAAACAGCAACTGTGAGATCAGAGCACTGACTGGAGAAGGGACTCTGGTTGGGACCCCAGCAGCATCCATTACAGCATTGTGACAGAGGAGGATAATCTTAGGGGCTGGTATCAGTAAAAGGCATGGAGAGGCTGTGCCACAACTTGGGATGGGGTGGGGAACCCGCTGAGTACTCAGGTTACAGGTTTAACTACTTCCTTCCCTCACTTCTAAGCACACAAACCATCATCATGTTTTCTAATCAACGTGGTTTCTACCATTGGGATAGTTTTGGCACAGGAAGGAAGAGACTGACAAAAGAGAAGAATGGGGAAGGGTCTGATGATTGGAGGTGTGATGACATTGGTGATGACGCTGAAAATTAGAGAACAGGAATGAGCTCTGTAACCAGAGGGAGGAATTACAGAGGTCAGCAGTTTGCAGCAGGAGCAGCTCCTGGTGATGATACCACCCAAAGTACGACCACGGGTGTGGGCTGTGAGAGGAGAGGGCAGGTGAGGGTCAGGGAGGGAGCGATGCCTCCCACACGGATGTGAAGACACTAGGAGGGGTGGTGGCAGTTGAAGGGGGTCAGCAAGACCATGTGCCAAATACTGGGGGGGGCCTCTGGTTGGGGAAAGGGTGACACAGTGAGACAAGATAATTTCCATAGGAGACTCTGAAGGTGATTGAAGGAGACAGACCTGAAAGAAGCAAGAGTAGAGAGGGAGACAAGGCATGAGGACCTTGTTTCCTGATCCCAAGATGTGAGTGTTTGTCCCCATGTGGTGACTTTGTGGGATGCGCTGGTCTTCAGGGGAAAGCCAGGCTACCCTGTGACGTGGGGTGGTAGAAAAGATGCTTTAGGGAAAAAGCAGAGGGCTTCTGGAAATAGCTGGGCGACAGAACAGGGAGGTGAGGGTCACAGAGAAAGAATTAGAAGGCAGAAACGATTGGCAGACAAAAACATAAAGCATTATCGCCAACTCAAAGATTTCATACCATTTAAAAAAACCTGACATTTTCATTTCATTGGCATCCAGGATTACCTCCATAACTAAGTGTTAATTCTTTCTCAACCTTACTCAATTTGCATATGTCTCAGCGGCAATAGAAAGCAAACTAATTAAATACTGCTTGGAGTTTGCTTAAAGAGCTATCATCAGAATATCCAAAAAAACAAAAACCCAAAGAGCCAATTTCGAGTATTGAGATTCGTACGTACATCACCCACACCTTAGAAGTGCATTGCTCAGCTGCTTCTTTAGACAGACAGGCGAGAGAGAAGAGCTAAGATGACCTTCTAGGATTTCCTCCTTGGCAATGATGACAAATCTTCACACCCTTTACCAAAGACCAGAGCTGAGAATAATCTAAGCTTTGTTTCTCTTAGTGAACAAGTAAAGCCAGCAGGAATGGCCCAGGCTTGGCAGGAAAAACTGGAATTTGGAGTTGTGATTTCCTAATGAGTTTTTTTTTTTATAATAGCATTGTTTTCCTGAAATCAGTGAGCTTGTTGGATATTTATGAATTATTTGCACTTAGCCCAGTGTCTGGTACATAGTCGACTCTCCACAAATGTTTGGTAAATGAATTAAAGGAAGAGATTTCATAATGAATGGACAGAATACTTGAGAACAAGAGTGGTGTGTGTGTCTGGCTGTTTACCCAAACTTTTCCCACTATATTTTCTCCTTCTTTTCTAGAAAGATAGCTTTGTTATATATATATTTTTTTCTCTTTGCACTTGGCATCCCTAAAGAATGCAACTGCAAAGCTGACTTTATTACAGAGCCTGATCTTGTCAGGACACAGCTCTGTACATCTGTGGTAAGTAAATTGTGCATTAATTCAGAGCTTCACCCAGGCTCTAAACCAGTGGTTCGCAACCTTGGCTACACTTCACAGTCACCTGAGGTCATAAAAATTCTGATGCCTGGTTCCCATTCCAGAGATGCTGGCTCAGTTATCTAAGGTGGGACTTGGCCATAGATTTTTCTTTTCAGGTTTCCTAGGAGATTTCAATGTGCATCCAAAGTGCAGAATGAGTGCTCCGAACAGTTCTTTTCAGAGGATCCTCGGTATCATTGGGGACGAAGGCCCTCTCATCACAGTCTCGCCCAGAGTCTTCTCCCCTCTTGGTTTGTAATTCATTTTCCCTGGCCATTTTTGTCCCTTTAGTCCAGGGTTGATCTCCTGCTTTTAGTCTTATTTTGTTGTCTGATTAATTTAGATCTTTTTATGCCTGGGCCCCCAAAAGAATTTCTAAGGGATTTTGGAGTAGTTAGAATTGAAACCCTATTCCTCTCTATCTGAGGTGTCTACTATTTGAGCTACAGTTCACAACATTTAATTTCTGACAACTTTAAGTGCATTAAATTTATGGCCGTGAATGAAAGAAATGGAAAATTAAATCCTCAGCTTTGTCATGAACCTTGCATGCTAATTTTATTAGGGAGATCATCATTGGGAAACCAAAGGTTGTTTCACTGGAAATGCAAACTATAATGACTAGGGAGAGGCACAGAGAACTATAAATTAAAGATCTCAACTTCTCATTTTACATACGCTTCCTGATTCATTGCCTGCCACCCCTGTCTCTCCAAAAGCCAGGTAAGCTCTTCCTTCAGCTCCAACTTAAGAATTCTGTGTTTTGAGAACCCCACTATTTGTTGATTTGAAAGAAGTACTTTTATTGTGCATAACTTGCTTCAGAGTGGTTTGATCTCATACTGTGCCTCGTGGCCGTGACGATGTATCTTCTACATCTTGTTTGGCAGTAAATCAATTCATTTTGCTTCTGAGCTAACCTGCAAGAGATCCTTGCAAGGAAACTCGGGGTTGGAATGGAAGTTTTAACAGCAGATGTAAGCAGGGATGGGCCCTTGATAGCAAAACACTCTCAGAGTAGGTAGGCTTTCAAAAATTTTTATTCTGCATTAATCTCATTCTTGCTTTTAGGATTTTTCTTAAAGCTTTTATTAACTAGTTGTAACTTGGCTGGTGACAAAGAAAATATAAACTATGTTCTATTTGTTTATTTTTAGTAAGTATTAATTGCTCTTTAAAAATTAGTTTTTGGTGAGATAAAAGTAATATGAACTCATTGTATAAGCCTGAAACAATGTAGAAAATTATGAAAAAGAAAACTCTTTTGCCCCCACTTACTAATCCTTGACCAGGGGTATGTCATTGCCCTTTTAAGGGAAGTTCAGTCCAAGGTCAAGTTTTCATGCACTTAGGGATTGGGGTTGAAGAGAATTAATTTATCCAGCCACTCTCTGCACTGAATTTGAATAAGCTGAAAAATACAAAGTGTCAGAGAAGGATGACACAATTGGCTCTGCTCTTGTTAGGGCTGGATCTGAGAACACTGCCTGGATCTGAGGCCAGTGGGGGTCCTAGCCGGCCCCTTGCTTGGTCACAGGCCAGCAGCTGGACATTGGAGGGCAAGGGCTGGGCCTGCCTCAGGGAGCTGAGCACAGGGAGGAGGCGGCAGGCAGGCGGATACAGGCAGGTTCTGACAGAGAACGAGAGAGAATAAAACCACTTGAGGCATTAACCTTGCTCCCCGGGGACACGAGAACTCAGAACCACGAGGTGATGCTGAATGATTCAGGTCTCCGGTCTGGAGCAGGGGTGAGATGCCCACAGCCGTGATCTTTCATTGCCAGGGTGAAAATCCCAAAATTCTGGATCAAGGCAGGAAGAGGAAGCGAAGCAGGAAGAGTTCCCACGACATAAAGCAGTTCAAAGAAGTGAAAAGTGCTGGCTTGGTTTTGATTGTTTTTGTTGTTCTAGATCTTTCGGGAATTAGCATGGATTTGCTGGGCCCAACAAACACTTGCTTTGGATTTGATCTTTTCAAAGAACTGAGTAAAAAAAGGGGTGACAACATCTTCTTTTCCCCTGCGGGTATCTCAGCGGCCATCGGGATGCTCCTCCTGGGAACGCGAGGAGCCACTGCCGCCCAGTTAGAGAAGGTAGGATGGGCTTCCTTGCTTCCCTGGCACAGACTTGTCTCTGGGGGCAGCCCTCCAGCATTACCTCCAGAATGTGCTCCTCTTGACCTGTGGGCCAGGAAACGGAGAAAGCATATAAAGACCTGGAGCAACTTCAGGTCTATCTTGAAGTTCTTTTCCTTCCTCACATATAGTCATGCCATCTACTCCCTGATGCTTGAAATATCTTTGAGGGGATTGTCCTTGTCCAAAGCCATTAACCTCATCATTAAAGATAGAGCAAGAAGATCAGAACCTACTGGACGAAGTTACCTGATCCCTGCCAGGGTATAAATGTGACGTCAAGGATGAATTCATGAAGGAATAAACCAACGTTGGCAACCCAGACTTTTTCATGGCTTTGCAAGGAGAGGAATGTTACCTGTATACCCACGAGGTTTCTTTACCAGACATCCACTGTCCTCCAACTGACTCTGTGTGGGCTTTTCTCCACGCTGACCACCGCCGTAATATTTTTTGTTTCTTTCAGGTGCTTTTCTTGGAAAAAGACACAGAAAGCTCAAGAATCAAAACTGAAGGAAAAGAGGTGGGGAGACGTATCTCATGGCCCCCGTGTGGTTGCTTTGTAGGTGTGGGATCAGTGGGGAGGTGGGTAGAAGAAGTAATACTTCATACTTACTGTTAAACAAGAATCATCAGAGCAACCAAATGAAGTGGCTAGGACCACATGGTGATAAGCTCCTAATGTTAAGAAGAGGCCTTAACTTACCGCACACTAACCACTGTGATGGACACCTGTGAAAGCTAATAGACGGAAAAGGCCCTATGGCAGAGTGAATGGGTTTTGGAGTTAGATTAGGGTTCAAATCCTGGCTTGGTCACTTAATAGCTATACTAGTTTGGGCAAGTGATTCATCTTCTTCAGGCCTCTGTGAAGTATCCAGTAGAGCATCTGGAACACACTGGTGACTCACCCAGTGGTGTCTGCAGAAGTAGCAGGTGACATTATTACTATTTTCTGTTTTTATTTTAAGCTCCCCTCCCCACCCCTGCTGATATTTTATTTAAAAAAAAATTAACACAAGACCAATGACTTCCCGCGATCTCTTTCAGCTCAAGGATGGTAGTATTCCTCACCCAAAGGACAGGCTGCACTACCTGGTAAGGAGTCAGGGGAGGCTTTCAGAGATGGACAGAGCCCCCAGGAAGGGCACAGCTGCCCTGACAGGTGTCATGACCCATTCCCAAGCCCTGAAAAATCATGACTCAAATCACCCAGCAGTGTGAGCTGTTCATTGCACCATCTAATGTGGCCAGGTTGTCTGGGAGGCTCAGTCGGCTAGATGAAGAGCCAGGCTTCCTCCACAGACTTGGGTGGGACAGCTGCTCCACAGTCCAGTCATTCAATCAGTGCTCAGAGCTGTTTCCATCCTCCCAAGCATGGTAGTCCATGCCGAATCTTTGTGCAAATTAGAAAAAGGGGCACCCCTCAGACAGATGCTCCGCCCCTGGGTGAGAGGCCTGGTAACTGGGATGAAGGTTGAATTTCAGCTTTGAGCAGGGCTGTGTAGCAGCTCTGCCCACCCCCCAGGGTTTTTGGGAGCCACAGAGCTATGGAGAAGAATAGATTCACTGCATGAGAGGATGTTAGGACTGGGACACATCTTGGAGGCCATCACTCTGATCTTCTCTTTTACTAGATGAGGAAACAGATGAGTAAAGTGACTTGCCCAGAGACAGGTCAGATGTACATTCCTATACATTTCTGGTTATCACATGAACTCTGATTATTCTGCATCAGGCTCAAAAAACTTGGAGATAAAGCCTTAAGACATTATGTGCAAAAGGAATAAGGGATAATGCATTCCGCAATTCTGAATAATGCCGTTCTGAATCCTCTTTAACCCGCCCCTCCAGGGGAAGAAATAAACCATTGCTAAGTGGGCTAATGCCCCCGGGCCTTTCCTCGAGCACATCCCCATCCTCTCCTGAAAGAGGAAGTTCCTCTATCCTGGATTTGGTGGTCATTTTCCCCACATGTTTATTTTTCATTACACTGTTACTTCATGTAGTTTCTTTTTTGTTATTATTCTTTGCAACCTGATTATTTTTGACCTAGAATTCCGTGTATAAGACTCATCTATTTTAAGGTGAATACTTGTAGCCCCAGTGGGCCGATTTTCAGTGTTTATCCACTTACCCTGTTAATGGGTCCTCTCCTCCCTCCTTCCCTCCCTTCCTTCCTCTCTTTCTTCTTTCTTTTCCTCCTCCCTTCCTACTGTTTGTAACAATGCTGAAATGACCCTTATTAACTTAATCTCCAGTCCCCCTCCTTTTCCTGGAGGATGGAGGATGGGGCTGAAAGTTCCAAGCTTCTAATCATGGTTTGGACTTTCTGGTGACCAGTTCCTGTCTTAAAGCTATTCAGGTGCCCACCAAGAGTTGCTTCATTGGAACGAAATATGCCCCTGTCACCCAGGAAATTCCAGGGGATTTAGGAGCCCGTGTCAGGAACTGGAGGCATAGACCAATTATATGTATGTTTTTTGTTGTGTCACAGATGTAAAATATCTCATTAGTTTTCACGTTATTTTGTTGAAATAATACAGAATACTTATATATTAATATGTAATTATTATATTTATATGTTAAAGTGGTGATGTTCTAG